GCCGGAGCGTACAACGGCCGAAACGTTGTGATAAATATGACAACAAAGATGAGGACGATAGTCCGAATAATGTAAATGGCCAAACCTTTATGTCTTCACGCGTTTCTTGTCACGCTGGGGTAGACCGTTCTAGTTCCACGTGCCCTGTCTAATGGACGTCAGTTATCAGTTATCTCCAGATAATTCCCCTCTCCAAATTCTCGACTGCCTTAACCATGTATTGAACACACATCTCTTTGGGTCCTGTCACTGGATCTAAACAACAAGCTCCGAACGTATTTATACATTTACGAAACTTCGAAGTCGGCAGGACGGGGCGACATCGACCAGTTAAGTGACAATTTCTTTATATTAATTCTATTAACGCTTTTTCTCTGATATTGAGCATTATACCACAAAGTATATAAACAGATGGTTTGGAGTTTTAGGATTATGGCTTCAAATGTTTGTAGGCATTTTTACAGATAATATTGCATAATAGTCTTGTTTTATTCTCCAATTGTCTGCTAATGTCGGTACGAACATGCTGTTCTTCGGTGGTAAGTTAATATGAGCTTGTATGGTAGCAATGTCTTATGAATAGTATGTTAGTCAACGTGAAAGGGTTGCATTGGCTTGACCGATATACAGAGTATCTCAAAAAACGTATACACTCTTTTACAGTGTATAGCTCAAGTAAACTTGCTTAGCTTTCAGATTTATTCATTAGTATTGCTAACATAATCCAGTGTTAGTTTTGAAGAAAGTTCATCCTGAAATTCTTCTGAAAGTACAACAATGAAGTTCAAAGACGTTATGGAATCCATCCACGAATTTGAGCTTGAAGCTGATGTTACTGTACACGGTGTGCACAAGAACTGTTCCGGAAGACCACGGATATATACGACGACTTTCATGCAAGAAAGGGTATAGAAAGCTTTTCACAGAAGTTCAAGAAATCTATCGAAATGTAGATTGCTGTAAATGATTCCACTGCGTCAATGTTGTTAGCAATCTCTGGACCATAACGGACATCAACTTGAAAACATGCGATGATAAAATCTTAAGTGCATGTATTTAGAATAAATACTGTCTTCATATACATTATTTAAATTACATATAGTTGGCTGTATTTTTTTTTTTTTTTTGTAAGCATTTCACCCCAAGCAAGGCGGGGAGCCACTAGGACGCAAGGGGTTACAGAAAATGTAGAGCAAGGTCAGATAGGAGTGATAGAAGAAAGGATGAGGAGAAGGGTAGTGGATAGATCAAGGCAACTGGAGATGTCGATTGACATTACATTTAAATAGTTGGAGATTATAGCTCTCAGGGAAACTAGAATAGGGAAGGGAGTTCCACAGGCGAGAGGTGCGAGACATGAAGCTATTGGAGTAGAAGAGACGGCTACATTTAAGAGTTTCGACAGTGAAAGGTTGAGAGCGAGATGCCAGCCTCGTAGGTCGCTTGAACTCATGACGTCTGGGAACCAGCGAATGCAGCTCCTCGGAGCAATTACCATGAAAGTATTTGTAAAACAGACAGAGAGAGGCGACGACGCATCTGTGAGAAAGTGACTGTAGACGAGATGCCAGAGCAGGGCCAATTATATTGCATATCCGCCTCTGGAGCCTATCAAGAACCCCGAGGCAAACAGAAGGGCCTCCAGACCATATATGGCAGCAATACTCCATGCAAGGGCGAATTGTTGATTTGTAGATCTGGAGGATCGATTCCGGGGAGAAAAATCTCCTGGCGCGGCACAGGGGGCCAACTTTCCTCGCGGTGGAAGAAGCAATTAACTCAATGTATTTGTTCCATCTCAGGTCAGCAGTCAACGTGAGACCGAGCAGCCGCAGAGTTGCTCTCAAGAAGTTGAGCGTCAGACATCCTAATGGGGGGGCAGGGAAGGATCTCTGTGGTGATTAATAGAGAGCAGTTTTGTTTTAGAAGCGTTGAAGTTGACCAGACAATTCTTGCCCCAGTTCACAATCGATTGGAGGTCCTTTTTGAGACGCACGGCCAGGTTAGTTTTGTCAGTGACACTAGATTTGTTTTTGAGGCAAGAATAAATTGTGGTGTCATCCGCGTAGATGCCAACTTGGGAATTTATGGCGTCAGGAAGGTCATTTATGTAGATAAGGAATTGAGTGAGGCCTAGGATGGATCCTTGAGGAACACCTGCGTTCGTAGGATAGGAACTGGAGGAGAATCCGTTGAGAACGACCTTCAATTCACGGTTTGACAGGAATGATTGTATTAGGTTATACAATCGACCCGTAATGCCATAACCCTGGAGCTTGCGAAGAAGGCCGGCATGCCAAACCCTATCAAATGCTTTGGAGATGTCTAGTGCCACGGCACGGGCTTCCCCGTTATTTTGAAGAGCTCGGTAGACAGTTTCAGTGATGGCCGTAAGCACATCAGCTATAGATTGGGCAAAGCGGAAACCATATTGCTTGTCTGAGAGCAGATTATGGGATGTGAGGTGGTTAACCACATCGGTATTGATTAGGGCTTCGAAGAGGGGAAGGAGACTTGTAGGACGGTAGTTGGAAGGGTCAAAGGGGTCGCCGGAGTTCTTGAAGACAGGAACAATCGAAGAGGACATCCAGCAGTCAGGAAAACAAAATTCCTTGAGGCAGTAGTTGTATAGTTTAGAAAGGGTGGGCGCCAATTCAGGCGCGCATTTCTTCAAGACAATGGCTGGTATCCCATCTCCACCACTAGCCTTGTGGGGTCTAAATTGGAGATAACGCCCAATACCAAAGACGGGGTTATGTTTAACCCACTCAATAGGGCCTCAGTTCTAAGAGGGAAGTCGGGTATGGGTACACCGGAAGAGTCGAGCGTCGAGTTGACTGAAAATTTCCGAGCAACGCATTCAGCCTTGTCGGTAGAGGAGGTCAGGTATAGAGGGTTTGCAATTGTTCAATACGCTCTTGCAGAGACGCCAATAATCTTTGGAGCCAAATTTGCGAGATGCAATACGTTCCTTCATCCGAGCCGCAAATAGTGACTTAGCATCGTTGAGGGCACGCTTACATTCGTTACGGGGGGAGGCAAAGAGACGTCTATTGCAGTCAGACATGCCGCTAAGGTATAGGTGGAAGTAGTGGTTCCTATGGGCGATGGCGGCTGAGCAAGCAGCCGAGAACCAGGGGGAGGAGCGCGACTTGACCCTATATTTCCTTGATGGGATGAAAGCGTCGATTCCAGCTTTAACCCAGGAAGAGACCTCAGAACCACATTCTTGGACAGGGGCGTAAAGACTCCATCCCAGGGGACATCGCGGAGGAAATCACGGAACGCGTCCCAGTCAGCTCTGGAATTATTTCTTGAGGATGTTTCAAAGCGTGTATACATTTTTTTGAGATAAATTTTAGATAAATAAAATAAATCTAGTAAAAGAAATTTCGTTAAATTTCGTATATGAAATTCTTCATTTCGAGTCCTTTAAAATCAGAGAACTGCTCTTGAACAGTATACATTAATTCGGGAGAAAAGATCGGCTATGCTTTAGTAAAAAAAAAATCTTTCATTTTCTTTTTTTTAAATGATTTTCTCTTTAACATGATGTAAATGAACAATTAAAGACATTGTATTAAAGCAACCGTTTTGTACTGGACCTTTACAGGTAGGAATGGACTCCTACCAAGAAATGAGAAAGAGTAAGATAGAATGAAAATTGATGTCTCCTGCGCAAAATGGTAAATGAAGGTGGGTTGAAGAGTAGGAGAATTGTACGAAACGAAACACGGGGACAAATTCAAAGCGTCTTCCTTTCCTTAGAAGATGCGGTAATTAAAAGGTGACATAAAGGTTTAAGGTGAGAGCATTAAATTCTGGCACGAGAAAAAATAGCACAAGAAAGAAAGAGAAACGAAGAAGCGACAGGTGGACACGTGTCCAATAAATGTGAAAGGTCATATTTAATTTAAGGAGAGATTCAGAAGTATTTAGAGACGGAGCTCAAACGGGAGAGATTTTTAACGTAAATGATACCAGATACACAAACTAGCACCACAGCCCCCGGTATCAACCACCGTCACCACAAAAATAGAATAACAATAATAATGAAACCTGCTATTTAACACTGGTCTGAGTAATTACCTTCTCATCAACAACAACATTACTCTGTCAGCTGGGCCTAGGATAAGCCGATTGCATTCCCTGCCAGAGGATTAACGCCTCTCTAAAAGGAACCTCTTATCTGATGATTGTGAACTCTCAATATGGACGACCGTTGTTTGCTTATAGACCCAAAGAGACACGACAAGTACTTACCTATAGTTTCAAATATAAACAAAACTATTATTTAACTATGGACTGCCTTCCTGGGTATGATAATAAACTACATCCGGCAGCAAGGCCTCTGATCGGGAGATTGAAGGTTTTGAAGAATGTGGAACCACCTCTTAATTGCTAGTTTTGGGATGACGATAAACTACATCCGGTAGCAAGGCTTCTCATCGGTCGATTGGAGTTTTTGAGTCGCGTGGAAGCACCACTTAATCGCTGTTGTTCCCAGGTCCACCCTGATCCGGGGTGGTAGCACCTGTTAGGGTTCCAGCTATGGACAAATATTAAACCTCGAAACAAAAATCAACAGTACATTTTTATAATAAAATGGCCAACAATACCTTTTTATAGCAAAATGAAAATCGATGCAGGACTAAGAAAATATAAAAAAATCATTTTTATAGTAAAATTACCAACAATATATTTTATGATCTACAAACTAGATATCTAAAGACAGACCTTTACTCTGGCAATATAAAATTATGTACAAAATATCTATAATTGATGCATAAAATTACGTATAAAATATTTAAATTTTGACATTAAATAACACATGGGGGTTGATAACATCAACCAACAAAAAATAGCTATGGTTTGAAAAGGGTAAACGTTTCCTACAAGCCAAGCTCCGGCAGATCCTCAACATCAATTGTAGGATCGACATATAAACAATGAACTGCTCAATACCTAAGCATTGAAGCAACACCTCGGGTGCCCGGGACATGTTATTTGGGTGGCCTCTTCAACACTCCCGCGGATTATCCTTTAAAGCGACCTTGCCAACAGAAACGAAATCGCGGAACTCCAAAAACGTAAATTCAAAGACCAAGTGAAGTCTTCCCACCTTCAAGCGGCAACCAACCCTAACACCTCGCGAAGAACAATTCATTTCGGTTGTTCCGCTTTCGAGTAGAGGAGAAGAAACTGAAGACTGAAGAAGTAAAAAGACGGCTACACGACGCCCGGCAGCTCCAGTCAAGGCCATAACCCGCCCTACAAAGCCATCATTGACTGAGACTGTTCCATTGTAGACTTGGCCTCCTGAGTAATACCCGGTTCAAGCATTGTAGACCCAAGCCAAACTTGGACACTAGTAATGCCGACGACCACGGTAAGAGAAAAGTAACTTTTCGCTAGACACTCATTTCTTGATATCCCTATCGGAAGCAATAACCTCTTTCCAGCATTTGGGCATGCTTAAAATCGAATAAAACCGGAAGCGTTCATACTGTGAATCCCGAGTGGTTAGGTCTCTTTCACTTCGAACTGAGATCAGAATAGGATACTAAAATTATAAACACGACCAAAGTTTGCTTGGAGACTCACATATAGACACAACCAATATTTACCTATAGACTCACATATAGACACAACCAATATATATATATATATATATATATATATATATATATATATATATATATATATATATATATATATATATACCCCAATTTTCCACTCTTTAAATGACAATAAATTTAGTGTTTATTGACATGAAAAGAAATATTAACAGTTATACAGTGTAACCCGGATATAAGAGACCCGGATATAAGAGAAACCCGGATATAAGAGAGATTTTCTCTGGTCCCAAATTAGAGCCTGTGTTAATGAATATAAAATAGACCAAACCCGGATATAAGAGAAACCCGGATATAAGAGACTTATTCTCCGGTCCCGACAACTCTCTTATATCCGGGTTACACTGTAATAAAAAAAATATTAAAGTTTCTTGACTTACAAAGATTAACGGATTTAATTAAATATTAAATGTAATTAAATGGATGCATCTGTAAAAAGATAAAAATTACAAGTAAATCAAAAGGTGAATACATATTTGGGGGAGATCATATATATATATATATATATATATATATATATATATATATGCGGTAGCATGGTGACCTTAGGTTTCTGAAGATCACGAAAGAGTGAAAACTAAGGTCACAAAAATATATATTATATATTAGCTCTATCACGGATATTGAGCACTTTCCACTAAAACCACACACACACACACACACACACACACACACACACACACAAACACACACACACATATATATATGTGTATGAGTATGATAAAAATATACTTACACGCATATATAAATATTTATTTCTACCTCAGGTGTTATAAATACAGTTCTCCATGTTATGTTACACAGTTATCAGTATATATTATATATAGATATATAAGAGAATATACATAATATCCAATGTATATAGCAAGACTTGGAGTTTCTCATATATATATATATATATATATATATATATATATATGCGTGTGTGTGTGTGTGTGTGTGTGTGTGTTTTATGTTCTCTGTACCATAGTCTCTCAGTGCGACTAGACATCTAAATGCCTCAAACCAGGACCAAAATCCGACCGATTTGGCGTCAGTCAGAGTTTCCACCATTGAACAATCATCATTTGGTAGAGAGAAACAGGTAATTCTAGTGTATTGTATTTAGAAATGTAAACAAACGCCAATCATTCAGAGGGCTCCAATTAATTTTACTCAATTCATATTACTCTCTCTCACTATATATATATATATATATATATATATATATATAGAGAGAGAGAGAGAGAGAGAGAGAGAGAGAGAGCGTGAGACCAACTTGGCCACGTAAGACCTTATGCTCAAACAGTCAAACAAAGCTTAAATAGTGTCTTAGAAAACAAATCTTTCTAGATTCTATCCGAAGGCGCATATATATATATATATATATATATATATACCTACCACCCCACCCCGCAAAAAAAAATATTTAAATATACAAATAGAAAAAAATGCCGTAAGAATTTTGGCCGTTAATAATAAAATTTTTAAAAATCCAGACGACATGCATTTGTTAGATTTCATTGAAAAATACATCCCTGTCCCCTAGCAAAACGTAACTAATAACTGATACATCAAAATACAGATATAATGAACACGCAAACACCCCTTGTCTGGTTGAAGTGGATTTCTCTGTATCCTTGGAAACGTGAATTATGATTTTTGCTATGTCTTTAAAACCCAGTAATTTTAAAAGTTACTCTAAAATTCGCTTGAGGATGAAATAGAACTAATGTCTTTAATTTAATTACAAAATTAAATTCGGGGCTTTTAGCTTCCATTTTTGAAACATGGTTAGAACTTTGTAGCGAAAAAAACCATATTTTAAATCAATTAATTTATAATATATATATATATATATATATATATATATATATATATATATATATTATTTGGGCATCAATGCCTCTTTATGCAAGTTTCATTGAGAACGACTGATAATGTCTGGTGTTTAAGTTTTTATATAATTTCTCATGAGTGCGTAATTTTTTTCTTTTGAGGGCATAAACTATATAAAAATTGTTCGATTTTTTCCAAGCGCTTTTGGCTATACCTTTATCCATTATCAAAGATGAATTTTATTTTACTTTTTACTGAATATATGCATTGTTTTATGTATGTTAGACACATACATAAAACAAACATTTGTATGACTCTAGATGAGTTATAGCAATGTTTTATTTTCCAAACACGGTCACCCAGTTGTGTCCGTGTTCATAGCTGATACTATTGAGTGTTGAAAAAGAAAAAGTCTCACAGATTACTATATTAGACTTTTTCTTTATAAGCTAACCAACAGCAACGCAAAACAGAGAAAAAACAATTACATTAGCATTTTCCACAAAGATCAAATGCATAGTAACGATGATCAAGACAAATCTTCACTTAGAAACGCCATAAAAATACACAACACCTGTCGACAAAAACAAGAAAATTCACCTGCAAGTTTCATATTATGGAGAACCAATATTATTTACGAATTTACACGTCCCTTAAGGAGCTGTGTTCCAGACGAATCCAAATTTGTAAATTTGTTATTGGATATACTACAACATGTTTAACAAGAAGATTCACGTTATATCACTCCAAGCATAGTTCAATTAAGTCTCATTTAAATACACATGGAGACATACCAAACATTATCCGTAACATAGTTGTTGATAATACAAATATGATAGCATTATTCACATGTAAAAAAAGCTAAAAATAATGGGAGCATTATTAATAATAAAATAAAAATACACACACAATAACATCAACTATGAACACGGTCAGAATGTGCTGGCCATGGTTGGGAAATAAAACATTCCTTTAACTGTAAATACGTACATAAAACAATGCAGATATTCAGGTAAAAGTAAAATAAAATTCATCCATGATAATGTTAAAAAGAATAGCCGAAAGCGCTTGGAAAACATTCGGAAAATTTTTATATAATTTATGTCCTCAAAAGAAAAAATATATGAACACATGAGAAATGATATAGAAAACTTAACCACTACATTTGACAGTCGTTTTCAACGAAACTTATATATATATATATATATATATATATATATATATATATATATATATATATAGATAGATAGATAGATAGATAGATAGATAGATATCAGCTTATATTTCTGAGATGAGGTATTATGTACACTATTTACATTGTTCGGACTATCATCCTCATCTTCGCTGTCATATTTATCACAACGTTTCGGCCATTGTACGCCCCGGCCTTCCTCAGGGGGTTGGAATGTCGAGTGGATAAAGGCGTTAGATCCAGTGACAGGACCAAAAGAGTCTGAGTTCAATACCTGGTTAAGGCGGTGGAGAACTTGGAGAGTGGAATTAACAGGAGATAACTGAATAACTGACATCGACATGGCACGTGAAACTAGAACAGTCTACACCAGCGAGTGAAATAAAGGGTTCAGGACAACATCATTTTAACCACCTAAAGAAGGCCGCAGCGTACAACGGCCGAAACGTTGTGATAAATAAGGGAACAAAGATGAGGATGATAGTACGAACAATGTAAATAGTATATCTATCTATCTATCTATCTATCTATCTATCTATCTATCTATCTATCTATCTATCTATCTATGTGTGTGTGTGTATATATATATATATATATATCTATATATATATATTGAAATGAAAATGCAATAACAATGAATGCAGTGTTTACACACTTACAAATAAGATTAATGATTAAAATTAAGAAATATCAATGCTTATCGACTTACAAAAAAGATTAACGGTTTTAATTACTTATTGATGAAATTAAACGCATGTATATAAATAGTAAAACTGATGATGGAATCAAAAAGTGAGTAGATTTTATGGGGAACGCCTTGTGTATATATTAAAATGCAAACCCGACCAATATTTGCGTATTTATTTAAGAACAAACTCGACCAATGCTAATCTAGGAATTCATGTGTAAACCCAACTAATATTTGCCTATAAACTGAAGAAAACCAACATTTTCCTATAGACTCAAATATAAACACGATCAACGTTTCCCTATTGATTCATGTATCAACTCGACCGATTTTAAAGACTAGACTAAATTATAACCCCGAAAAATGTGTATATATTGATTTATGTATCAACCTGTCAAATGTTTATCTGCAGATTAACATGTAAACCCAGCAAATATTTACTTATAGCCTAAAGTATGTTTATTTTTTTACCTATACGCTCACGTATAAACAGGGCCAATATCTATCGATTGATAGTACCAATTTATCTATAGACTCAATTCTATATTTGCTCAATGATTGCCCATAGACTCGAGAAATAAATTTATAATATATTTCGACATTAAATAACCCAACCGATCAAAAATTGCAACAAATGTTATTTATTCAATAAAGTGAAAAGACTTTAGGAAATTAATATCTTGAGCTCTCCCAAATAATATACTACCTGTTGAAGCTGTTGAAATCCGATCCCATATATATAATGCCTAGGTAGATATCATACTATAGTATATATATATATATATATATATATATGTGTGTGTGTGTGTGTGTGTGTGTGTGTGTGTGTGTGTGAAAAGTGTGTGTATATAAATATAAATAAATATATATAAAAGCGTGAAACCCAGGGTCACAAACTCACGTCAATCCAACATAATATATATATATATATATATATATATATATATATATATATATATATATATATATATATATATAGTATACTAAGATATATATAGTATTTATGATACTATATATATATATATATATATATATATATATATATATATATATATATATATATATATCATATTTGCGATCTACCGTATTTATAGTATATTACGTAAATATATATATATATATATATACGAGTATCATATCACCTTTGCGTAAATGACGAAAACTCATTATGCTGGAAAATGCTCAGGAAAAACGATCACGTGTTTACTGTTTTTTTAAATGACATCAAATTAGTTTACAAACATTAAAATCACTATCTGATGATTTACATTTTTTTTTTTACAAAAAGTCGATAATGATTTTTAATACCGAACCAGTTCACTCTTCACTGTTTTAGGCCTAAATTTAAGCCCTAACCCTAACCATAACATATTTCATACTTACAACAGTTGGTAAATATCATACTATAGTAGAAAATCGGCGGTAGATTTCATACTAGTAGCACAGGAAAAAAAGGAGAAAAAGAAAAGAAAAAAGAATAAGAATAGTATGCAAATGAGTAGAAATAGAGTAAAGGAAGAGAGAGGAGGAAGAGAGAAAGAGAAAAGGAAAGAGTAGAAGAACAGGAATCGACGGCAAAGAGAGTCGGAATAGAGGAAAAGAAAAGGGGTAGAGAACAAAGGGGGAAGAATAAAGAAAAAAAGAAAGAAGAATAAAAATAGACAGAAAAGGAAGAGAAAGAAATGGCTGAAGAGGAGAAATAAGTAAAAGAAGAGTATACGGAGGGGGTAGAGTACAAGAAACGGGAGTAGAGAGGAAGGAAAAAAGAAAAAAAAAGAATTAGGAGTAAAGCGCAAAGTGAATTAATTATTAAAAAAAAAACAGAATAAATGATAAAGGAAGAGGAATTAAGAAAAAAAGAAAAAAAATGAAAGAAAGAATAGTACAATGGCGAGAAGGAGGATTGAGGGAAAAGAAGAGAAGGAAGACGCATATCAGGTACAGAAAATGAAAGTGAAAACCTAAAGAAAATTAGAGAGAAAAAAAAAAATCATCTCGCTTCTCACTTTTCCTCTTACCCATTCATTTCGTTCTCTTTCCTAATAATCACCCAGTATCGTCATAACAAACATGGCCGTTCTCCATAATTAAGATGGAACATCAGAAGAAGCAAAAAAAAAAAAAAAAAAACTATACCACTGCAACCGCAACGACAATTACCCTCGCCACAAATAACGTTGTCATTTCCGGATTCGACGCAAGATGCTTCTTTTGCTTCAACGTTACAACTTGAGGCTGCCATAGCGGTAACTGGGTACAACTGACTGTTTGCTATTTGAATACCCATGTTTTCCTGGTTTTAACAAATTTCCTTAGATTTTCAGTTGCCAGGTGACGAAAATGTGTTGCGCTGAACCTGGAGAAGGTTTATGTCGATCGGCAAAGAACAGAGAAATAACAGCGATGCTTTATTAATAGTAGTCGTAACATTAGGCCGAGTCATAAGTAATTTCCGTTTCGGGAAACAAATTCTAATGACTAATCTATCATCGAAACTACCTATTATAAATAGCATTTAAGAATATATCTGAAGTACACTTCTTATATGTTGCGTTCCTCTTCACGAAGTCGATCGATCATGACTCTCCACAACCACCTGTAGCGCTAAGTAATATTTGGCTTTCTGCTATATTTCCTAACCCCTGTTCTGCTAGCCAATGACACAAACTCACTAGGTAGATATTTCTTCTTTTATGTCCTTTCAGCACGTAGGCGATCATAGCTTTTCACTTTCGCCTATCCCTTTTAATTCCCAGTCTTTTTACTGCTTCCCCCAGACCATCTCCTGTCAACCACTTGTTAAGCCCGCGTTGCTTTCCCTTGTCCCTCTTTCCCTCTACCCACCCTGTGAGTATCAGAGTTTCTATGCCTTCATTTCTCATTACATGTTCCAGAAATTTCAGCTGCCTCTTTCTGATGTTTCTTCTTTGTTTGCATCCTCTTCAAAACCCTCATCGTAGCTCAGTTGTTTGGTCCATGATATCCTTAACATCCTTCTGTAGAACCATACCTCCGTTGCCTCGCGTCTCTTCTTCATCTTTGAGGAGACTGTCTAACATTCGCTGCCATAAAGGAGGACACATATCACGTAGCAGTTCAGCACTCTTTTCTTTGTTACCATCGACATCCTCCTGTCTCGTAATACTCTGCCTAGCTTTTAGAATGCGTCTTTGGCCATCCCACGGACTATTGTCCTCATCTCTGTTGTTATTAGCACAACGTTCGGTGGTTGCCCCTCCGGCCTTCCTCGGGTGTATATCTGTTGTGGTCTTGTTAGGACCAGAAATAAAGACACAAACAAATATATTAACAGGAATACAAACGTATACAAACGAGAGTATTACAGCAAAAATGCTCGGCCCAACTGTCAGAGCTAACTGCTAAAAGGCAGTACCTGCTCCTATTTATAGCTGGTAGAGTCCATGCGAGCGTGGGTAAATTACCATAACACTATCGATCTGGGTAACTTAATTTCTGAGACAAGGAGTTATCATTATTTAAACTAAGACTTTTGGCCTCATCTTTGTTGTTGTTGTTCTCACGTTCGGGCTTCCTCAGGTGTATATTAATCTGGATAACCTACAGAGATCCCTTTACTTAATCTACGTGGGTAGACTGTTCTCGTTTCACTGCTTATGTCTGGTAGTATCGTCTCGTTCTTATTTTGTATTTAGTTCTGCTCAGTTAGGGTCGCCTGTTTCAAACGAGTGCAAGTACACGATGTTCGACCCGATTTGGTGAAAACGAAAAATATCAGAAATAGACCGATTGATAAATAAGGTCTCTGATTCAACAAATTTTAGAGCAGATCGAATAATGAAATGATAATCAAAATGTAATAAATGTATTGATATTCAAAATTATGCTTGATTGATTTGTTTTTTTTTATTTTTTATTTTTTATATTTTTTTTACAGTAAGGTACAAGGCCATTCGATATAACGGGTTACATTAAGGAGTAGTTTATATGGATAGAAGGGGAAGATAAAGGTTGACTTAAAGAGGTTAAGATTGTAGTGATCAGAGAAACATCCTTTTGGGAGTCTTCCATAGGGGAGTAGTTCGCGGTGAGAAGCTGTTTCGATGGAACTTGCTTCCCGCCGACGGGATACGAAGGGAATGTGGGTGGGTTTTTACTATGCAAGTAGCATAGCAGGTCCTAGCCATGAACCTTAGACCTGGTGGAACCAGGAAATGCAGTTCGTCCGAGAACTTTCGATGGTAGTAGTGATAGAACAGTGAGAGACTCGCCACATACCGCCTGTGAGACGGCCTAAAGTATATAAAACAAGTAGTAAGAGTATGTTCATATATATATATATATATATATAGTAACGAGTATGTTCATTATATATATATATATATATATATATATATATATATATATATATATCTTACTTATTAAAGTTGGAAAATGTAAAGGAAGGAAGGAAGGAAGGAAGGAAGACAGAAAAAAAAAAGAAAAGAAAGAATCGAATTGAAGATGGAAATGAGAAAGAAAGACGCAAAGAAAGAAAGAAAGAAAGAAAGAAAGAAAGAAAAAAAGAAAGATGAAAGAAGAAAAATGAAAGAATTAAGGTTCGAAAAGGCAAGAAAAATGAAAGAAAGAAAGAAAGAAAGAAAGGAGATCGAGTTGAAAAATGAAACATGAGAAAGAAAGAAAGAAAGAAAGAAGAAAAATGAAAGTTTTACAGTTCGAAAAGGGAAGAAAAATGAAAGAGAGAGAGACAGACAGACAGAAAGAAAAAAAGAAATAAGAAAATGATGAAATTCAAGATAAAAATGAAAAAGAAAGAAACAAAGAAGAATAAGATGGTATTGTAGACGGAAAAATGAGAAAGAAAGAAAGATTAAAGAAGAGAAATGAAAGAATTAAAGTAGGAAAAGGGACAGAAAAAGGAAGACAAAAAGAGAGAAAGAAAGAAAGAAAGAAAGAAAGAAAGAAAGAAAGAAAGAAAGAAAGAAGAAAAAAGATGACAGATGGAAACAGGAGTAATAGATAATGAAAGAAATAAAAAAAAAGATAGAATTAAAGGTGGAAAAATTAGAAAAGAAAGAAAGAAAGACAGACCGAAAGAAAGAAATAAAAAAAGAAAGAATGAAATAAAGAAAGAAAGGATACTCAATCACAGCAACCTTAGAAAATAAAAGAAGAAAAGATTGAAAAGATATCTGAGAAAAAAGCCAAAAGACCCAGATGATAAAAAAAAAATTCTTATAGATAAAAATGAACTAATAAGGACGTGTTAGAAAATTTCCTTCATTAAAGCTGACTCACTCGAACTCAGTTTGACATGAAAACCCCTTCTTTTTTCACTTACCATTTTCTTCATTTATTTCCATTTCTCATTTTCTCTAATTCTCTGTCTCTCTTTTCCTCTCTGTCTCTCTCTTCCTCTCTGTCTCTCTCTTTCACTCTGTCTCTCTCTTCCTCTCTGTCTCTCTCTTCCTCTCTGTCTCTCTCTTCCTCTCTGTCTCTCTCTTTCACTCTGTCTCTCTCTTCCTCTCTGTCTCTCTCTTTCACTCTGTCTCTCTCTTCCTCTCTGTCTCTCTCTTTCACTCTGTCTCTCTCTTCCTCTCTGTCTCTCTCTTTCTCTCTGTCTCTCTCTTTCACTCTGTCTCTCTCTTCCTCTCTGTCTCTCTCTTTCACTCTATATAATTTTCATGAAGTACAATCAGCATTTGTGGCAAAAGTAATTTTCTGCATTAAAAAAGCACATAAATGCACTTTCAATGTGCAACTTACATTATTACATTTCTAATTTTTTTTGCAAGACCAAACTCACCAGTGACTGACAAATGAGGAGCTAATATCAACAGTTGTCGATCATTTTTTTTTCAGTTTTATTTAATAGCAGAAATAAACTCTTGTCTTCGCGAGGCTATTCAGTGTAATCTCCTGCAAATAAATAAATAAACAAAAAATAAACATGAATACCATTGCTCTTGACAACTATGGTTTTAGAAACATTTTTCTATCAAGGGCCAACTCATTAAATAATTGGATACACAATGCCAGCACCAGAATCAGGGCTAATATTGAAAAAAAAAAAAAAATTAACCAAATACTTAAACAAAAATGTTTATAATTCAAAGCTTGACACCATTTTGATTCTGCAATACGTGGCTGGCCTATTTACAGGATAACACAGTTATTTTGATTTGTTTCTATATGTGTCTGGGTATATAGTCGAGTCAGATACATTTAGTTTTTTGCTTTTTGTCTATGTTCTTGTTAGTCTTGTCCTTAAGTATCTGGCATTTTGATATAATAATAATAATAATAATAATAATAATAATAATAATAATAATAATAATAATAATAAAACAAGCTGACGTAGACAAAACCCGTACCCACCAGTGGCTACGTAGTGCAGGGTTGAAAGCTGAAAGTAAAGGTTTTATCCTTGCTGCACAAGACCAATGCATGTTAACTAGGAATTATCAAGCACATATACTAAAATATTGTGTTAGCCCAAAATGCAGATTCTGTGATAAATATCCAGAAACGATTCATCATCTTGTATCAAGTTGCACGATATTGGCACCCACTGAATATAAAACCCGACATGACAGAGTGGGCCAATATCTGCACTGGAACATCTGCAACTTCTACGGGAAGGAAACTGAAAGAAACTGGTATGAACACCACCCAGACCCGGTTACGGAGATAGGACCTGTTACAATTCTATGGGATTACACAATACACACTGACAGAACAATCAAGGCCAACCAGCCAGATATTGTTATTAAAGACCACAAACAAAAACGGTGCCTCCTTATTGATCTGGCAGTCCCTGCTGACTGCAATGTATCTTTGAAGATATTCAAAAAGCTGTCAAAATACAAGGACCTTGAAATAGAAATCTCGAAAATGTGGCATATGGGAACATCAACAATCCCTGTTGTAGTTGGAGCCCTAGGACTGGTTGGAAAAGTTTGCAGTAGACTAATTGAAGGGATTCCTGGAAGTCCATGCCTCAAGGAGATACAAAAAATTGTTCTGACAAGTACAGCCCACACCTTACGAAGGGCTTTAATTATGTAATTTAATTTTTTTTTTACAGTGGAAAGTGTCATGACGCCATTTCTAACCTTAGGTCCCTGGGCGGGACCCGGAAAGAAATGTGTAAACGCCAGAAATCAAAGAAAATAATAATAATAATAATGATAATGATAATAATAATAATAATAATAATAATAATAATAATGAAGATGGACTCACCCGTAGTTTTCGATGTATGAGTGAGAACCAACTCAGTTCCTAGGAACCGACAGTCAGACCCCCCACACACACACACACACATATGACTTGATTACGATGGATAGCGGCTTGGACCGAGGAATCGGAGAGGCGATTTCGAATCCATTACACTCACTCACGTACTAATACACGTGGGAAAGGTATGAATACTCGACTTCTCCCCACGCCCAGCTATGGCTAAATAGCAGGTCAGACTGGATGGCAACTGGTCTAGGTGAAAGACAATTCAGAATTCAAAAATTGGTTTCTGAGGACCTGCTGGTACACTGTGCACCACGCCCTCTGTATTCGTCTCTTCAAAAAAAAGTATGGTTGGTTCTGCACAGAGCCTTCGCCACTGTAGTCAAGTCACACACACACACACACACACACACACACACATATATATATATATATATATATATATATATATATATATATATATATAGATAGATAGATAGATAGATAGATGTGTGTGTGTGTATGTATGACGCCTTTATATATATATATATATATATATATATATATATATATATATATATATATATATATATATATATATTTAACAATAAGAAAAATTAAAAATTATTTTTTGTTATTTGAGATAAGAACTGGATAGATACATTTTATCCTGAATTCTCTGGTCAGTTTGACAGTTTTATTGGACCTGGTGAGGGGATGTGTCTCTGTTTAGTGTTTGTGTGTGTGTTATTTGGTTCTTAGGGAGTGAGTGAGTATGATATGCGTAAGCGTGTGTATTGCTGTAGATGTGTGTTATCATTTGGCTCATTAGGGAGTGAGTGAGTATGGTGTGTGTACGTGTGTATAATCGTGTGGGTGAGTGTATAAGTGTGAGGCCTCCATTCCTACGTAAGCATGTCTGTCTTGTGTGGGTGAGAAATGTGGGTAGGATTTGATTTGTTGATTGTTACTATTATATATTGTTAAATTTATGATTTAGCCCGGCTGGGTATTGTGTTTTTAGACGTTGTATCCATTTATTTTCATGGGACTCTAAAATCTTTCTAATGTTATCTGCTCTGAACTTTTCTATTCTCTCAATTATAGTGAATCTGGCATGGATTTTGAAATCGTGTTTTTCTAGGCGGAAATGTTGTTCTACAGGTAATAACTGTTCATAGGGAGTCGATTTAATCCGCTTACGATAATTATTAATTCTGTAGTTAAAGGGCCATTCAGATTTTTCTACATATATATATATATATATATATATATATATATATATATATATATATATATATATATATATATATATATATATAGGCGTCATATCTTTATTTATTGAATATATAGACATAGTGTGTCTAATTAATTTTATACTATATCCTTTCTAATCGGTTTCTTAATGAGATGGAATTCACCGAGGAAGGCGCCGTATATTTTTTTAGCCCAAGTACTTTAGATCTTTTCTAAGATCATCTTCAGGGGTAAATTACAAAGACAAACTTATTGTAACTGCGATAAAATTCTGTTGTGATGGTGATTTTAAAAGCCCGCGCGAACGAAATGTGTTAGAGCTGATTTAGATTTTTATATTTATCCGTTTTATTATTATTATTATTATTATTATTATTATTATTATTATTTTTGCAAAAGAAGCGTTTCCATTTCATCACTTATCAAAATGTTTTTAGCGCGACAGTTGACTTTAGTGCTTACTGGCTAAGGCTCTGGGTTGATTTGATAGCTTACTCCAATGTTTTCAACGCAGTTGTTGACTTTGGTGTTTACTGGCTAAAGCGTTCATTTAATAAATCATCTCAATGTTTCAAAACAATTTTTGAATTTGACGCTTATTGGCTAAGGCCGTTCTTCGTTCATTTGATGGTTTATCTCAATGTTTCAACGTGATGCTTGATTTTGGTGCTTATTGGCTAAGGCTCTTATTCTAGGTTCATTTGATACCTTATCTCAACGTTTTTAACGCGATGGTTGACTTTGATGCTTAGTGGCTAAGGCTCTGACTCTAGGTTTAAATTAAACCTATAGCTTATCTCAATGTTTTTAACCCAATAGTTGACTTTTTGTGCTTACTGGCTAAGGCTCTTACTCTGGATTGATAGCTTATCTCAATGTTTTCAATGCGATGGTTGACTTTAGTGCTTACTAGCTAAGGATCTTACAGTAGGTTCCATGCTGCTTAGGAGTAATCATAGATCGGCTCGTTTTGTAATTTGAAGACGGTTTCTTTGTTTAGTAAGTAGTTGTGTAAGTGTGTTGAAACGACATTCAGCCATATACGAAGCTGGAAAATCTAGAAAGAAAGGTTTAATTGTTCCCGCAGCTTTAGGTCCCTTTTAGAAATTTCTTTTTCTCGCCAATATTAAATAATTTTGGAAAATTTGTACAAAAATGGATGAATGCCCTTCGCACCAACGAGTATGTTCATATATATATATATATATATATATATATATATATATATATATATATATATATATATATATTATAAAACAAATTGTGTGTGTGTGTGTGTGTGTGTGTGTGTGTGTACGTTTATATATTGGATCGATTTCCTATATTTTTCAACCGATTTCAACAAAACTTCACAGGACTGCGTAAAATTACCTTTGCGGTGGTTCTGACAGCGCCAAAAATTGGAAAAAAACAATTGTTTTTGCACGAAATCAATTTGAAAACACGATAAAACACGATTCTGTCGCCAGAATGAAAGGGGGGCAACTCATATCGAGTTATACTTATTATAAACCCCAGGTTGTGTGTGTGTGTGTGTGTGTTCGTTTTTATATGGGATCGGATTTCCTACATTTTTCAACCGATTTCAACAAAACTTCCCTTTATTTGGCAGGTAGTGTTTCTTATTGTCTTGCACACTTTTTTCTTTATTTTTACATTTAAAATGTTTTAAAAATTCCATTTACAAGACAATTGTTTATAGTAAAATTCTATTCAATCGGTAGACTCATAACGATTGAAAACAATGTTTTTGTTTGAGTTTGGGTTTGACCAATAAAAAAAAAAAAAAAAACTAATTAAGACATGCGTGTCCATCAACTGTAGACAATAATATTTGTCAATTTTATTTTTCAGTCTTTATGATGGTCGATACTTGATCTATCTCTTACTGTTACACCCCCGGGCAACACCGGGCTCTACTGCTAGTATATATATATAAAAGACAGGATGTGTGTCTGTGTGTAACGCATGCACGGCCGCAATTTTCAACGGATTTGCACCAAAATTTACATGCACATGCTCCAAGTTAGCAGGAAGGCCAAGACCGACTTTGCATTTTCCAACTCGCATCGATAGTGGAAATAATCGATTTTTTCATGCTTCTACGGCAGTTTTCATGTAGTTTGCGGTCATTTTATACTGGCCAGAGTGAGAGCCAATAGCTGGCTGCCACGAATAGCCAGGAAGATTCTATTGGCCAGCGTGAGAGCCAACAGCTGACTGACACGAATGTTAACTAGCATGCTAGCATGCAAAAAAATCAATAGCTGCTTTCATCAGAAGTGGGAAAAATTTAAATCTGCATGCCATTTTACTCCAATTGGCTCACTCGCTTGCTTAAACTCAACGTTGATTCTGATTCCGCAGAACTGGGTTCGGTTGGAAAAAGTATTTGTTGTTAACATTCTTTTTTCATTCGGTTTTTCCAGTTACGAGTCCTTTTTTAAAGCTGATCGTTCATTTTGTTTAGTTCTTTTTTCGTAACAGATTTAATGTTTAGTATAGAGCTTAGAAAAAAATCGCAGTGTGAGATAGGCAAGAAGTAAGGCATGTAGCAACATCAGCACGGCAAAGGGCACTCCTTTAAAGGCAAGGAAGGGCAAAAATATTTGAAGCCAAGTGATAGCGATTGTTGTATGAGTCGTACGATTTATGAATCAAGCACGGGCAATGCTGCTAGTTAATATATATATAGTGGAACATGTGACTTTTTGGTATTAAAGTCAAAAATATATTGATTGATTTCACGTGTTTTCCTTCATGCCGAAATTTAATTTTCTTGGACGCTTGGAAGTAATAAAAATACTTTCTATGTTATTCTGCTTTCACAATTGAATACATGGTAGATGATACTCAGCTTTTGTGCATATGCTTGTGTGGACATAATTACTAGGGGCGGTGATATGCGCGTTTTATGTTGAATTTATATTTTGGAATACATTTCGATTTAAGAAATTGTCTGTTATTTGTATTAATTAATTTCATGAAATAGTTCGTATATTCGTATTGGTTGATTGAGAATATTTTAAACGGATTTTGGTAAAGTCGTTAAAATTTGTTCGTATGTACGTATTGTTGGTAATTAGACTATAAATATGTATTTTTATACTTCCATATTATTTTGTTTGGTGTGGGGGGGTTCACTATTTGCCTAGAGTCGGAACCCTTACAGGTGCTACCATTTGGTGTTAAGGATTTACTGGAGCTTGGCTTGTAGGAAACGTTCCTTCTTTTCAGTCCATACCTATTTTTGGTTGATTGATTTTTTTTGGCGTCATATCAACACTTTTGTGCTTTATTTAATGACGAAATCTAAATACTTTACACATAATTTTATACTTTCAACTAAAAATATTTTATACGTAATTTCTGGGTAAAAGTATGTTTTTTTTTTAGATATATAGTTTTATAGATCATAAGATGTATTGCTGGTAATTTTACTATAGAAATGTATTTTTACTTTTTTTTTCGTGTTGCATATCAATACAACACTAAAAAAAAGTAAAAATACATTTTTTGGTGCAAATCCGTTGAAAATTGCGGCCGTGCATACGTTACACACAGACACACATCCTGCCTTATATATATATATACTAGCAGTAGAGCCCGGTGTTGCCCGGGGATGTAACAGTAAGAGATAGATCAAGTATTTGATTCATTTTGTTATAAAAATATATTGTTGGACATTTTATTATAAAAATGTACTGTTGATTTTTGTTAAACTATTTTCCCATAGCTGGGACCCTAACAGGTGCTACCACGCTAGATCTTGGTGGACATAAGAGCAAGGAGTGGTTCCACGCTCCTCAAAATCTGGAATCTCCCGATCACAGGCCTTGTTAGTGGATGTAGTTTATCGTCATACCCATGAATAAAAGTCAAATATATATATTCCGATAGAGTTTGTTATGATTTTATTAATGACCTTCATGCTTTGCCCTACGCGAAAAATGAAGTTTTAAAATAGAGACATGTGAAAATGTTCCGAAATTGGTATTGAATATACAATGTACTTATAATGTCAAACTGGACGTCGACTTTGTAAATTCAATACATAATGGGAAAACGCGGTTTTATTTCCAGCAAAACTTTCAGGGAATCGAAAGTATTGTTTGTGATAAAAAAAGACAAAACAAAAAAACTTTCACATCATAGAAATCGCAATCTACATAGTCTCTATAAAACGCACTAAACAGACGGAAATTTACGCTAGTTTTTCAGTTACGGAAAAAAAAACAGAGTTGAGGAAAAAATTATTAGCAGTCTTTATAAAAATTGTATTCTTTTAATAATTTTCCCAAATGCTTTTTATAGAACAATGAATTTTAAACAGAGCATTGCTAAATATACAAGTGTTCTTTAGAAAGAGTACATTTATTTTTATTTGCACACAATAACAGAATTATTTCAACCAGGCTAAAACTGACCAGAACCTGTATTCTCTGTACCTAGTTAAGAACAATTCATCTTGAGCAACAAACTACTCTTGCGTACAGGGATTACAGCTAGATAATGTTGAAACATCGGTTCCCATACTGTAGTTAAGCAACATCGAGTCTGGTCAGTAACTAGATGGGTGACCGTTTGAGAATATCAGGTGCTGTAAACTCGTATGTATCGGTGGTGTAATGGACTTTTAATTGGAAGTCAGAAAGCCGAGTTCCCATTCCAGTTGTGTTCATTACATTCACTTACGCTTGGTAAAGTTGTTGTTCATAATGACGGTCGTCTTTGAGTATAGAATCCAGAGGTTAGCAGTGAATATTTCGAAGACAGTAGGGAAGCGTATTTCAGGTTAGCAGTGGATATCCCGGTAAAAGTAGCAGAGCGTAGTTCTTCCTTCTGTTTCTCTTCGCCTGACAAGCTGGCATTGGACATTCTGATAGAGTAAACAAAATGGCCGCCTTTATACACGACGGATTGAATATTTTACGTCTTCTGATTGGTTAACCTTCTATTGGTGGACTATAAAGTGAGTCAAATCATTTGGGCTAACTCACTAGTACATATATATACACAAAAATCTTCAACAAAAGTAATGCATCCATCTCTTCTCAATCGTAACACTTGTATCCAAAAATCATTATTATCTCAAAAAATCTTACAATACAAAAATATGTCTCGGCTTTAAATAACTTCAAGTCGTAAAAAGCAAATCGATCAGTTAATATTTCATTAGAGATCAACTGATATCATCAAATGATGATTTCAGAATTTACCAAGCTCTACGGATATTCGTCTATGATTCAATTAACTTGCAACTCTAAGATTCATGAGGTTAGTATTTACTGAGAATTTGACTTTTATTAAAATTGGAAAAAAACAAACTAAAGACATTGTATTCATACTTCTCGAAGATGTGAATAATGGTGACAACTTCGTGTAAAGAATCCATACTCACTTTGGCATGGACCGCTTTAACGAATATCAAACTGTTAAAAAATTAAATTTAGGAACTTGACATTTGTTTTATTTCATTTTCTTTTACAATCTGGTTTAGAATATTATTTTTAAAGCCTTTATAGATAATCTATTGAAAAATGAGAGGAAAATGGCTGAAGAGAAAATATTAGTTTTGGAACATGGAGGATCTTCGTCTTTCACTGTCACGTGTTCGTTTGTTTTTTCAAGGACAGATTCTGAGAAGATTCTTTAAACAGAAAATTCTATTTCCAATTTTCTAAAAGAGAAAAATGAGCTGCCTGCGGATGAATTCCCTTTTGTGATGAAAATTGCCTGATTTTGTTTTAGAAGTTTTAATTGATATTACTCTACATCTCAATTATTTCAAGTTGAAACTACAGGGCAAGAAGAATTCGTTCCCCCATGTCATAAATAATATCAATGAATTCAAGAAAGAAATCGAAATTGTTCCTTTCTCAGAAAATGGCAAAATTAACCAGTTTTCACGCTTGGAAGCGTAAGACGAAGATAATGAAGATTTCGTAAAATATCTTTAAAACAATTTCAAATGCATTGTAATGCGTTTTGTCCAGATACAGTTCTTATTGAAGGACTGATCTCTCTCGATCACTCTCTCTCTCTGTATGCACACAGAGATGTTTATATATATATATATATATATATATATATATATATATATATATATATATATAGTTAGATAGATAAATAGATAGATAGATATGTAGATAGATATATAGATATATTAACACATGTCTCATAGAATAATTTGGACAAGTTTTGTCTACTTATTTTCAATAGAATCCTCTCATATTCACAGACAAGCTTCTTAGTATCCTTATGAAAGGAAGAGAGAAAATTACCATGTTGATACATATTCATTTATTCCGAGTAATTTCAACATTAGCACATTGTCATCTTCAGGGTGATTTTTTTTCTAAGACAAAATTGTTGTTCATCTGAAAGACAAATTCTTTTAACTGTAAAGTGAAACACTACAACGTTATATATTATATGATTTTAATTTCATGATGTAAACGTCAGGGAAGTGACTAAGTTTTAATATATATATATATATATATATATATATATATATATATATATATATATATATATTTTTGATAGTTGTATATTTAGGCAGCAATCCTTCCCTTTATGCATGTTTCATTAAAAACGACAGACAAGGTATTGAGCTTTTTTATCACACTGATACATACACAAACGCAAACACTCAACTAAGCTGATAATCGAACCATCCTTGATAATGGCTAAAGGTATAGCCGAAAGCGCTCGGAAATATAAAACATTCGGACAGTTCTTACACACCTTTGTCCAGAAAAGAAAAGCTCTTGTTCAAACACAAGAAAAATTAAATAAAAAGCTCAACCGTAGTACCTTGTCTGTCGTTTTAATGAAACATGCATATATATATATATATATATATATATATATATATATGTAATTATTTATTTAAAAATTATAACATAAATATGTTAGAAAATCACTGTAGTGATTTTATAACATATTATCCTATAATTTTAAAATAAACAATTATATCTGCTCTACTCTGTATTGAGCACTCTTTTAAGAATAATAATTATTGGCTATTAAAATTATTCCGTATACACTAATCATATACTTGGGTATATATATATATATATAAATATATATATATATATATATACGATATAATAAAAAAGAAAAGAACAGTAAGATATATACTCTGGTGTTCTTATTGATATTTTATTTTTTTACAAAACAGTGATCAATGTAAATTTAAATAGCATAATTAACTGATTTAAAATATGGCTTTCTAATCAGTTAATTTATAATATAAAATATATATAATTTTTATATAATATATATATATATATATATATATAATATATATATATATATGTATAATTTGTAATATATAAATATAATTTATATAAATATAATTTTTATATATGTATATATATATACAGGGTGTTTCAAAAAATTTGATATCCTTTGAGATGTAAATATCACAGAAAATACATGATTAAGGCAAATGAAATTAAAAAGTATTAATGTTGAAGATCATAAGATTTATTCTTCCAAATCTGAATGAGAAATTCAAAAGCATGTGGATTATGTGAACGATTTCACAAATGTGAAGTTTGTGATCGTCCGGATCCTTTGCTCTGCACAGACAGCCTTCCTCTTTGAACTTTTTATGCCATCTCCAAATCTGCATTCCTGTTGGTGACTTTCTAGAGAACTCTCTCTCATAAATGCACGCTGCACAGTCTTGTTTGACTGTGTTCTAGCAAACTCAACACACAAAACACCTTTTCTCTTCTAGTAAATAGCATTTTATATCTGTAAAGAAAAAAAAGATTAAAGATTAAAGAACATAAAAATACAAATAAGAAAAACACAAAAACAAAAGACATAAAAACATAAAACAAACATTAAACATAAAAGATGCTATTAAAATTTGAAGTCATTTGAAGGAGATCTAACAAAGTTATTTGATTGCGAAAATGATATCAAATTTTTTTGAAACACCTGTATATATATATATATATATATATATATATATATATATATATATATATATATATATATATATATATTTATAAAAAAAATTATAACATAAGTATGTTATAAAAAATCACTAAAAATAACATTTTTAGTGATTTTATTTTTTTATAAAAAATAATTATATCTGCTCTACTTTATTGAGCACTCTTTTAAGAATAGTAATTGTTGGTTATTAAATTCATTCCGTATATACCAATTATATATATATATATATATATATATATATATATATATATATATATATATATATGAGTTCTACCTGATCCTTCCTCTTGAAAATTTTTCTGAAAATATACATGTATGGGAATTTTTAGATATATTTTTCATATGTATATATTTTTCCACTAATATTATCTATATATATATATATATATATATATATATATATATTGTTATGGTAATTTACCCATGCACGCATGGACTCTCCCAGTATACATAAGAGCAGGTACTGCTTTTTCGATATGGAAGTAACAAGAAACAGCCAACTATGACATTCGGACCGAAAATTCTTGCTGTAGCACTCTCGTTTGTATATGAACTCAATTCCTTCCTTTGTGTCTTTATTCCTGGCCCTAACAAGGCCACAACATCTATATTTTTGTGTGTGTGAATATTGCTGCCACATCTGGTCTGGTTTCCTATTTAGATATTTTTGGTCCTGATCTGTTATCTCACCTTCAGTCACTTTCCAACCGCAGTAATGTAGCTTCCCTGTCCTTTTTCTATAAACTCTTTCATGGTCATTGTTCTGATGAACTTTCCTATATGGTAGATAGACTTTATGAATTTAAGCACCGTACTAGATTGACAGCAAAGTTCTCCACCATTTTACAGTTGAAATGACCAAATGTAACCCTAAATTCTATGCATTACCGTTTTCGATATTCTCTTCTGGCATCTTGCTTCCCAACTTTGATCTTCAAAACTTATTTCTTCTTAATTTTTATACCTTTATTGTCCTCTCTCCTTAATAGTAGTTTTTCTCATATTCTCTAACACTCAGTACCCCCCTTGCATTCCTGTGGCTTTATTACCTTGCTAGGGGGTGAAATCCCGTACACACTCAGAAACACACACACACATATATATATATATTTCCTAATTACATTGTCGATGAACAGATTAAACGAGCCATTAGAAATATTAAAATAATAAAAAGAAACGGTTCTTGATATATATCACATATATCCCATAGAGTGTGATGGATAATTGGATGTTACGCTAAAATGAAAACAGCACTGATATCTCATTTTAACAGACATATTTACCAAAATTATACAAAATTATCTTGAAATACTAAACAGTAAATTTATTCAATAAAATTGGAATTGGCTTCAATCACGGCCTCCAGACGACATCGGAATCTCCTGCAATTCTACTCACGGTCTCCCTGTTTAAGTTGGTGAATGCTGCCATAATCCTTGCCTTCAGTTCATCATTGGTGTTACAATGAGATTTGTTGGTCTCGCTTAACTGTGCTCCACACATAATAATTAATTGGGTTGCAGTCTTGGGAATTAGGTGGCCAGATGTAAGGGGTGATGTGGTTGCCGAAATTATCTGATAGTCATAACTGTGTTCTCATGCTTATCTGGCACGGTGCAGAGTCCTGTTCCCAGACACAGCGTCTTCCAGCAACCACTCTCTTGACCCAGGACAGAACTACCTCCACAAGGCACTTGATGTAGGCCACCATGTTGAGTCTGAGGCCCTCCTGAACAAATTCGGGAGTTCTTCTCTTTTCACAACGACTAGAGTGAGTTTTTCGTGCTGCCGTACCTTCGTAATCACCATTAGACTCATACAACCTTTTTCGAATCTTCTACACTGCCCTCAGATTGACACCCAAACACTCTGAAATGTTGGTATTGGAACTTCCGGCGCGAATGCCAAGTAATACTGCATGTTGTTTCCAAATTTCAGGCGGATTGAATTGTGTCATGGTGCTCTTTTTCTCAACTGACCCTACAATACTTTGAAGTCGACAAAATCATAAAAAAAAACAACGCGGAATTACAAAAAATAATAAAATGGCGAAAATTTACCCATCGCAACCTATACAAATAGATACATATGCATGCTTAGTCATCCACAGATAGACCGTCTCGCTGTGTCTCAGCTCTTCAGTGTGGCTAGACGTTTGGTTGGTTCAAGCCGAGATTAAAACCCGATTAATCTGACCCCAGTCAAACATCTTACCTCTAAGCCATCGCCGCACAGCAGGATTGATGGAAATTTTAACGTTTTTCCTTTATAAATTATGCCAACGGCTCGGAGAACTCAATATATTTTACTTGAATATTAATGCTTATATATATATATATATATATATATATATATATATATATATATTGTGTGTGTATTTAGGCAGCATCTTTTCATTTATACACGTTTCATTAAATAATATAGACAAGTGTTGTCTATTTTATGTAAACTCTTTTCATAACGTCTAATAAGTTTAATAACATTATAATTGAACGAAGAAAGAAATTCACAATATTGATCCATATTTTTTAATATAAGCTAAGCTTTCGGCTTACATAAGCCATTATCAAAGATGTCAATTACAACATATTAAGCAATATACGGACAAGACATCTCTAAGAAACGATAAACACGTGCATATAAGACGCTAGAAGCGAAAAGCGAAAATCATGACGTTACACATGACCACGTGAGAGTGAATTGGAGAAGTATGAAGTATGGAAA